GGGGAGTGGGGAGTGAGTGCTCTGGGCTGTTCAATTCCTACAAGAGGTATTTTTTTTTCTCTGTTTTAAATTTTTGGCCTATAGCCTTTAAATATCCTTATCGTAGGGGTGGTGAACACAGAATACAATACACACAATGCAATACAGTCGATGTATTATAGAATTGTACACCTGAAACCTATATAACTTGATTAACCAATGTCACCCAATAAATTCAATAAAGATCCTTATTGTATAAAAACGAAACACTTTATTGTAAAAAATGCGAACAATAGCCCAGTTGGTTAGAGCATCATCCCAATACACCACGGTTGTGGGTTCAATCTCCAGTCATGGGGTCATGGCCCATGCAAGAAGCAACCAACGAATGCATGTGGAAGGAGCAACAACGCTCACTCTCTTAAAAAATCAATACATTTTTGAAAATGCAAATAATATAAAAATATATAAACAGAAGAGTAAATGTTTTCCATAATATTAAGCCCCAAAGCGAATCTGTCAGACCTTTCTTTCCAGGCACACCCTCTGGGACCGTTACTCTCACCGCTTTGTAGCTCGCTTTTCTCACAGAAGATGCCCCCACGATCCTCCATGTTCAGCACCTGGCATAAGGCTAAGGTTGTGGGGTGCCAGGCCCAGGCGGCCTAGGTGTGAATCCCAGCTTGCCTTGCGAATGAACGTGTTTCCCTGGGTAATAACTACCTAGAACCTACTTCAGAGGACTTTTGTGAGGGTTAAATGAGATAACATGTGTAAAGCGCTATGAAAGTTCCTGGAACGTGAAAAGCCAGAGTTGCCATTATAATGTGTCTAACAATCCTCTTTAACAAACACTTAGGTCATCTTTCAAACTTGCATGCGCACCTTCCAGCAGCTTGTCAGAATGCTGGCCAATTCACGTTCTCACTCAGCGGTGTGTGGGAGCGCCACTTTATATCCCGGCCGGCGATCTTTGATGAGTGGAAACTAATGTTGCCCTGCTGTCTTAATATGAATTATCTGATTACTAGTAAAATTGAATATGGACATTTATATTCTCTGAATTTCCTGGTATTTGTCCAATTACTGGTTGGGTCCTTTACCACTTTCATATCGATTCGTAGGTGCTCTGTATCTTTTGGATGGT